GAGATATGGAGGGGTGTAGGGGGCTGGCGGAGGTGATGAGATATGGAGGGGTGTAGGGGGCTGGTGGAGGTGATGAGTTATGGAGAGGTGTAGGGGGCTGGAGGAGGTTACAGAGATAGGGAGGAGTGTAGGGGCCGGAGTAGGTGATGGAGATAGGGAGGGGTGTATGGGGTGGAGGAGGTGACAGAGATTGGGAGGGGTGTAGAGGGTGGAGGAGGTTATGAGATAGGGAGGGGGTGTGGGGGCCGGAGGAGGTGGCGGAGATAGGGAAGAATGGAGGGGGTGGAGGAGGTGATGGAGATAGGGAAGAGTGGAGGGGGTGGAGGAGGTGACGGAGATAGGGAGGGGTGTAGGGGCCGGAGGAGGTTACAGAGATAGGGAGGCATGTAGGGGCCGGAGGAGGTGACAGAGATAGGGAGGGGGTGTGGGGGCCGGAGGAGGTGACAGAGATAGGGAATGGAGGGCCTGCAATCAAATATCTATCAACTTCCTCCCTGTCCGCTACCTTCTCAGAGACACACGATCCTATCCTGATCTGTGCATTTAGCTGAGATCTAAGTGTCCTAGGAGGCCTGGAACAGCCCAGGACATTGAGAGTCATTTATGGGTCCCTACACTCTTGGCAGTGAGAGCGCTTTCTCAGAACGACAGAGATCACTAAACTCCCTACAGATTAAAAAAAACACCCATTTCTAATGGAGACAATTTTCAGTCCTGAGTTACATTTTAGAAGATTTACATTTGTAGATTTTTTTTCACAAAAAATACATAGAGATTTGTTTGTACTGTCTGCCCCCCTGTAAATACTGATATGCTCCCCACCCCAGGGGACCCCCTGTAAATACTGATACGCTCCCACCCCCGGGGACCCCCTGTAAATACCGATACGCTCCCCACCCCTGGGACCCCCTGTAAATACTGATACGCTCCCCACCCCCAGGGACCCCCTGTAAATATTGATATGCTCCCCAACCCTGGGGACCCCCTATAAATACTGATACGCTCCCCACCTCCGGGATCCCCTGTAAATACTGATTTGCTCCCCACCCCTGGGGACCCCTGTAAACACTGACCCACTCCCTATTCCAACGGAACCTGCTGTAAATACTGACACTCTCATCCTCTGGGAACCCCCAGAAAGTACTGACACCCACCCCAACACCCCAGCGCGCTCCAGGACCCCCTGTAAATAATGACACACTCCCACCCCCATGGAACCCGCTGTACGTACTCCATCCCCTGGGGATCCACCCATTAATACTGTCACCCCCCCCCCCCCCCACCCCCCGGGACCCCCTGTAAATACTGACACACACATAGCACAGTGTCCACTTATACTCAGTAACAAACTCCTTGAGGACCCTCCCTGAACACTGCCGTACTCTCAGACTCCTCTCCGTCAGCACAGATGCACTCCCCTGTAAAGTGCACAATCCCATTGCAGATGGGATGTTCCTGCCCAACCCTCGAGGACACGGTAGAGGGCAAAGAAGTGAGGTCAAAGGCAACAGTGACAGCTGCACAAGCCTAAAAACCTGGCTGGGAAGGAGCGGGGCTAATGCAATCGACTGGCTCTTGCATTGTGTGTGTGGGAAGCAGCATCGAGTCTGGTGGCGACGACTGCTGTGGCCAAATATCTGGTTGACAACCCCTCTCTTGGTGACAAGGAGACTGACCCCTCGTGTGTATATGTGTGTGTGTGTGTGTGTGGAGGGCTCCTGACAGGATGTAAGAGAGCTCAGCTTGGATGCCTAGAACATGTACCAGAGTCATGTGAGGGGAGGGGAAGGTGATCATCTTTTGGATGGCACCTCACACCATCCTAATCCAAAAGTAAGCAGCTCCGGGGCAGACGAAAGCCGAAGGAAGGAAAGAATAACCGAAGTTTGCTCCTTTTTATTGGGAATTTGACTTGCTTTGCTGCTGAGTGGTTAGCACTAACTGCACCTCTAGGGTGAGCCCAGTGTGGATCAGGGATAGAGTTGTAGGTGGGCAGGAGGACTCCTGTGCGCTAGGGGTCGCTGAAGAGCAGCAAGGGCAGTCTCTTGGCCCGACTACACCTCCTTGGCGGAGAGGAGACTATAAAAGGAGACGGCCCGGCAGATGTTCTCCCTTTCGTCCGCTGGGAGCGGGTGTTGGCGGCTGAGGTTGTAGTAGGCTAAGTTGGGAATTTGTGACCACGATATTAGCTGTTATAAACATAAAATAGCGAGCTTATTGTTTGAGAAGAGATACGGGGTAGTTGTCTCCACTTTAGGGGTCTCCGCGCCTTCAAAGAAGAGCCAGGCCCAATGTGCGCCTGCGCTGTGCCGGCACTTCGGCGGAAGGGAGCTTGAAGGCGCATGCGTGGTATCGCTGTCAGGTGAGCACATGCGCACTGCCTCGCTTTGGCCACACACACCACGTGGCTGGGTCAGGGACTCTACTTGGCATTTATTCAATGGAGTCCTGCCCAGCTCAGTGCGGGGTGGGATTGGCCGCCAGTACTCCCTGATAAAGGGAGGGAGAAGGGGGTGACAAACGATAGAGGTCTTCATTTAATGTTGACCCATCCCTGTCAATGGAGCATTGTGTGGAAGCTTGGCGTGTTACCCATCAGGACACATGGCAAGAATGCCCAGACTGCGAAGCGGTATTTCCTGATGATGTGAGAATTCTCCCACCTGCATCTGCATTCTTGCTGGGTAACTGCCCCCAACCAAACTTCTAGCCACAAACCCCACCCACTACCCCCTCCAGCCCCTACACCTACCTCTGTCACCTCGTCTGCCCCGTACACCTCTCCTCTCTTCTTCCCAATTCCTCTAATCTCCCCTGCCCTATATACCACTCCCTATCTCTGACCATCTCCACTTCTGGTGTGCAGCATCTTGTGATTCTGTCACTCCACTGGTGGCTGTGTCTTCCTCTGGCCTGAGGGCTGGAATTTCCCCCCTCAGTTTCTCTAGCCCCCTCTCTTCCAGTCAGCTGCCATTTCAAGCGGACCTCCTTGGTCACCTTTCCCTAACAGCACCTGACTCCTGGATGTAGTTTGGGCTCACATTGTGCGTGATGTTGCTGTGAGGTACTCTGAAGAGGCTTTAAATGTTTCAAAGGTGCTACTTGAATGCATGTTGTTTATTTCCTGTAACTGGCACTTTTGTAGTGTTAGCACGTTGTGTGACCACGAACTGACTGGGTATTGTTTGAGTGGCACCTTCTGCGTTGGCATTTAATACTGCCCGGCTTTTCATTCTGGCCCATTTTACCACTCGGTGGGTAAAGTGGCTGTGGGTTTGTGCACAGATCCAGGGAATCCTGCTGTTTCAAGGTGTCCCTGCCCCTCCGGTTCTTCACATGCCTGTGTCTGCCTGTGGCCTGTGCGTGTGTCTGAGAGAGGGAGATTGAGCTCAGTGCTAAAGTCTTCGGTACCAGCGAGCTCTCCATCTTCTGGTCCTATCCTCATTGGCTGAGACATGCAGTTAAACTGAGATCGCTTATCTGCATTGGGTGATTCCAGTCACTTCCGAGTTGAGGTCGTGGGGGTTTCGGGGTTGGGGTAATAGACTGCAAGCATGGTCCATTTGCTGATTCTGAACTTTGGAATCTGCCTCCCATCCTTGAGAGTGGGATATAAACCATGTGAACATAGGACAAGCTGGCAGGTGGAGTATAGGCTGTGGGACTGTTTTGAGGTTTTCGGTATAAACTGGACGTTTTTAGATGGGAAGTTTTTGTGTCTGGATATTCAGAGGGAGTTGTGCACCGAACATAGTCCACGCACAGCAAGCAAATTGGAAGCTCACTGTTGGCCTTGATTGTAGGGGATTGGAGCATAGGTGTAAGGAGGTCTTTTTACAATTATACCAGTGAGAACTCACCTGGAACTCTGTTGTTTTGCTCTACATGTTTTTAAGTAGAGTTCATAGTCCTTACAGTGTGGAAGGAGGCCATTTGGCCCATCAAGTCCACACTGACCCTCTGAAGAGCATCCCACCTAGACCCATTCTCTCCCCTCTCTTCCCCAAGCCTGCATTTCCAGTGGCTAATCCAGCTAACCTGCACGTCCCTGGATGCTACGGGGCAATTTAGCATGGCCGTTCCACCTAACCGTCACATCTTGTGGGAGGAAACCGGAGGACACGGGGCGAATGTGCAAACTCCAGACAGACAGTCGCCCGAGGGTGGGATCGAACCCGAGTCCCCGGCGCTGTGAGGCAGCAGTGCTAACCACTGAGATGCCGTGCCGTGCCGCCCCTAGAGTTACATGTGCATCGGAGGCCGGACACTGCTGGTTCACTAAAACTGGTCCAGGCTGTCCTGTGATGAGTCAATGGGCTCAATATTCTCCGGAGTTTAGGAGAATGGGAAATGATCGCGTTGAGACAGATGTGATTCTGAAGGAGTTTCGACAGGGTAGAGGTTGAGATTGTTTTGTTTCTCCCTGTTTGGGGGCTATACAGTCTTAGGAAGGGGGAAGGTCACTGAGGACCAAGAGGAGGAGACATTCCTCCCGAGGACCGTGGGGTCTCTGTTGTTAAATGTATATTTGAGGCTGGGATTGGATCTTTGGTCTCTAGGAAGATGGGGATTCGGTGAGGAAATAGAGTTGAGGCTCAAGGTTGACTGGGATAATATTGAAAGATGGCTAGGCTCAGGGCTGAATGGTTTCCTATCTCTTAGGTTCCTGGATAATACTGGGCCTGTTGGAGTGAACTGGGGCCTGGCAATTTTTGACGTTCCTGTCCTGGAGGATGTCACTAAAATTGTTGTCTGTCTCTTTGCAGGGTGGCACGGATGGATGCGGTGTCCGATTCTGGAGCAGAGGCACGTTGCCGGGTTCTGAGAGGGTGGGGATGTGGGGGAAGGTCACTGCCCTGAAACATCGCTGTGCTAATGTCCAACACATTCCCGTGCCCCGTTTCCCCACTGGGGTTCAGTGGACAGGAGATGCTGCATCACAGCGCCCCTGGGAAGGAGTGAGGGGGATGTGGGCTTTGTTCTGAGGCAGACTGGGCCAGTATCTGTGGGAACGTGTAGGATCCTGGTGACTGTGACAATTCCAAGGATGTCTCCTGTTGTGGGAGGGGGGAAACACGGTTTCTAAGAGACTTCTTTCAGACGGAGGAGTACAGGAAGTCTTATCTCTCAGGCAGGAGTTTCCAGAGGGCAGTGTCCCCAGAGATTGGTGAAGGGGCTGCCATGGACTCTTTGCAAGTCGGAGATGGGTAGCCCCATGACTAACGAGGGAGTTAAAGATGACCTGATGTAGACAGGCCGGTGGGTTTGGGAGGGCAGTCAGATCCCATCGAGGTGCTGAATGGCATCGTCTTCGCTGCCCGCCTGTGGAGTGGGTAGAAACCATGAGGACTAGTGAGGAATCGGTTCAGCAGTGTGTCGTTGTGATAGTTGCTGGCACCCAACTGCAGCAAAAATACCCCTTTACCCCACCCCTGCCGAGGTATTATGTTGGCAGAATTTCTGCCCTAATGCCAAAGCTCTGTGGATTTGCACAGCCCTTTCTCTGAAGCCATGGAGCCAAAGTCTGATCTCTGGCACTGAGCCCGGTTAGTTAGTGAGTGAGGGCGGGGGGGTGGTCTGTTTTGTTCAGACAGTCAAACAGTCCCAGTGGTCCAACCCGACCAAGTTTCCCAAACTGAACTAGTCCCATCTGCCTGCGTTTGGCCTATATCCCACTAAAGCTTTCCTATTCATGTACCTGTCCAAATGTCCTTTACATGTTGTAACTGCACCTGCATCTACCACTTCCTCTGGCAGTTCCTTCTGCATACAAGCCACCCTCTTGTGTGAGAAAGATCTGGCTAGATTATACCACCGTCTATTCTCCCAGCCAGCAGTGATTATTGGGAGACGGGAAGATTGTGGCCTAATACTAGGGTACAACAGGCTCAGTAACTGAAGGGCTGTGAATCCTGTAAATGGTTCTTTGGCAGCTGCAGGAGCGGTGTAACATAGCAGCGACCCTGCAACGTGGCTCTGATACCAGTCTCTTGACACTCCCACTGGAGAAGACTGGATTCTCTGGACCGGTAAGTGGTTTCCTGGCTTCCCAGTCGTGACTTGTGGCTGGTCTTGCTCCGAGTATTTGAGCTTGATGCATATTTTTCGTTCGTTTCTCATGCCACGGGCATTTCTTGCCAGTCCTGAGATCTGTGACATGAGGGGAGGTGCTCTGTGCGGAATATGGGTTTGAAGCCAGAGGCAGTACAGGGTAGCCCCTCCGAGGGGCAGTCAGTGCCAGGCAGCCGTCACGTCTGGAGATCCTTAGGAGGGTGGTGTTCTCGAGATAAAGCAGGCCCCCACTACCCCTCCAGTTCTTGACATGCCTGTGTCTGCCTGTGGCCTGTGCGTGTGTCTGAGAGAGGGAGAGTGAGCTCAGTGCTAAAGTCTTCGGTACCAGCGAGTCCCCATCTTCTGGTCCTATCCTCATTGGCTGAGACATGCAGTTAAACTGGGATCGCCATTCCAGTCACTTCCAAGTTCGGGGGCTTTGGGGTACTAGATCGGGAGAGCAGTCCATTTGGCGCTTCTGATATTTTATACCTTGTCTCCTGTCCTTTCTGTGAGGATAGTATTTCACCTGACTTGAGTGTAGGACAAGCTGGCTGGTGGGCTACAGGGTGTGGTGGTGTATTGAGGTTTTCACTTCGCCTGTACAAATAGATAGACAGGATGTTTTTTTATTAGATGGGAAGCCTGTTTGTCTTCTGACGTTCTCGGGGATTGCGCATAGAACACAGTCCACACACACATACAGCAAGCAATTTGAAAGTCCACTGTTGGCCTTGGATATGGGGGAAACGGAGTACGGAATGAGGAAGTGTTGTTAGTCAGGATTAGAATTAGCTTTATTGTCATGTGTACAGTGAAAAATTTACAAGTTGCCACTTACAGTGCCAACTTAGGTACCTAGATATAGACTCTTAAGTACAAACTCTTAGAGAAATTAGAAAATTACAGTCCAGCAATAAAGTAGAAAAAGAGATGAGTTCAGAATACCAATCATTCCACCCAGACCACTCACCAGACTTGATTGACAATTTAACGCTGAGGGAGGGAAAATTATTTTACTTTCCCAGTTGAAGCGGTCTTCATTGTTTTTTCTTTAAATTCATTCATGGGACGAGGACACTTTTTGCTGGGCCAGCATTTATTGCCCATCCTGGCAGCATGGTGGCTCAGTGGTTAGCATTGCTGCCTCACGGCGCCAGGGACCCAGGTTCGATCCCAGCCTCAGGCGACTGTCTGTGGAGTTTGCACATTCTCCCCGTGTCTGCATGGGTTTCCTCCGGGTGCTCCGGTTTCCCCACAGAGTCCAAAGATGTGCAGGTTAGGGTGGATTGGCCGTGCTAAATTGTCCCATAGTGTCCAGGGATGTGTAGATTAGGTGGGTTATCGGGGGATGGGTCTGGGTGGGATTCTCTGTGGGTCAGTGTGGACTTGTTGGGCCGCAGGGCCTGTTTCCACACGGTAGGGATTCTTTGATTCTATGATTCTAATTAAGAGTCAACCACATCGCTGTGCGTCTGGAGTCACATGTAAACCAGACTGGGGTAAGAATGGCAGTTTCCTTCCCTAAAAGAATGAATGAACCGAATGGGTTTTTCTACCGTTTGATCAGACTTTAATTCCAGATTTGTTTTAGAAATAGAATTCGAGTTCTTACCATCTGCTGCGGCTGTACTTGAACCCAGAATGTTAGCTGGGTCTTCAGGTTAACGATCTAGTGATAATACCACGAGGCCGTCGCTTCCCCGTGATTGTTTTTGAAGTAACAGGACGTTGAGAGACAGACTGACAGAATGAAAGAGGGTAACTTCACTTAAGGATCACCGTGAGGCATGGGCAGGTGTCAGGAGGAAGTGGGGAAGAGGGTTATTAAGGAATAATGAGCTGTGTTGTGAACTGATGGACAAACTGCTTTGCTCTGCATCGGATAACCTGGTGGCCAGTAGCCCAGTTTTGTTTAAATGTTTTAACCAGAATGCCTTCCTTTATTTTTTCCAGATCGTCCTTCCACAGGCTTGCTGGTGAGCCTGACCTTTGACCCACGGATACTTCGGGAGCTGAACGCCAGGAGGCAGCAGAGAATGCATATGCTGCTGGGGTCAGATTGTGTTTGTATGTGTGTTTGGAGGAGTGGTGGGGAACTGCTGATCAGATGGCAGCACGAGGCAGATGGACTGAATGGTCTGCCTGTGCTCCTGTGTAGAGCCTTGTCCCTGAGAGTGCGGCTGTCGACCACGTGGGGTCGGGACGGAGAGACCGAACAGCAAAGAGGCCTCCCTCTGTCAAGGCGAATGTTGCTGATGGAGCCAGGAGGGACGGGTGCCTCCCAATGCAAATATTGACATGGGCTTGCTCTGGCTCCAGTGTGAAATGTGCTGTCTTTATAAATAAACAGTGTTTTTCATAAATACTCAGCTGCAGCGTTCCTGTGGCAGGGGAAACCCTGGGGAATGGGCTTCTGGGATTGATACACACACCAAGCAGCCAATCCAGCATCGTCCCGTTGCTCCAAGTCACTCGCAAAGAACACCAAGTTCTGGCAAGTTTTGGATTTAAACCAGATATTCCCGGTGGGACGAGGAGGGGCTGGTTACTGTGAAGTGGGGGGGTGCAGGGGGGAGGTGAGTGATCTGAGGTGTTTATTATAACAGTGGGTTGACCTGGCAAACAGCCTCATGCTAATTGGGACCTGGTACTAGTAAACATTGTCACTGGTTCAGTCCTTGAAGCCTGGCTAACCTATCTGTCCGAGTCAGTCTGTTCAAAGCTGTTATCGTATGCCTCTGAAGTATGTTGGACCTGAGCCCAGGCTTCCCAGCTCGGCAGTAGGGACACTACCATGGCTGCAAGAGCCCTTGAAGCCAGGCTAACGCTTCCAACAGGTGTAGTGGGGGGAGGAAGAGAACATGGGTCCAAATTCATCTAAATTGAAATTCCTGTTTGGATAAATCTGAAATCGAAATCTAGTGTCAGTGAGGGAGACACTCTCGTTTTTAATAAAACCCCATCTGGTTCACTGATGCCCTTAAGGGAAGGAAATCTGCCATCCTTACCTGGTCTGGTCTATCCGTGGGCTGTTTAAGTGCCCTCTGAACTAACCCTGGTGGGACACAGTTCAAAGGGGCAGCTGGGGAATAGGAGCAGCTGCTGACAACTCTTTACCTGCCTGTCGGAGTCAGACCCTTCGGTCTAACCAGTCCGTGCTGACCATGATCCCAAACTAAACTAGCCCCACCTGCCTGCTGCTGGCTCATATCCCTCCAAATCTTTCCCTATTCATGTACTTATCCAAATGTCTTTTAAACATTGTAGCTGTACCCACATCCACCACTTCCTCGGGAAGTTCATTCCACCCACAAACCACCCTCTGTGTACAATAGAAAATTGCCTATCATCTTTCTTAAAATCTTTCTCCAGAGACTGTACCCCCAGTCTTGAAATTGCCC